AAGTACCAAGTGTTATTCAAGTGATTAAAATTTAAATTTACATAATGATAATGTGAATTTAAAAATAATGAATAAAAATATACAAAATAATAATTATGTTAAAGGTAAACGAAAGAATACGATTAATTTCTCGAAAATGATTACATATATATATATATATATATATATATATATATATATATATATATAATACAATACAGAATATTACTCTGCCTTGATAATTTCAATTCATATACGAGTAGGTAGTCGAATTTTTGAAAGTTGTTAATTACTTATTAGTTATATTATAATGTATAAAAGTATTTAAAAAAAAAAAAAGTTTAGATAAGTAGATTAACCCACAAAGAAATCTCAAAATGTTGGCCGACTATACATCGAAATTTCATTAAAACATTAAATGCTATAATTAGGTAATTAATTTATTTAAATTAACAAAAGGAAGTCTACTTAGAAATAAAAAAATTAAAAGTGTAAGATTTCATTCATTCATTCATTTAAAAAATTTCAATTTATTACGTTGATACTTGGTGAGAAAATGTATGTTGTTAGTGTGACCAAATAAAACCACATAAGACATTTAGTCCTATTTATATATTAAAGATACCTTTTAAAAATACATTTGAAATATTATGATTATTTTATATTATGTATCATACATATATTACTTTTATTTTTAAAACTTAATATAAACAATCATTTGAAATCAGATGAAAAATTTTGAATACCTTACCCTATATTACGTTTATTTTTTTTAATTTCATTTATCAAAGACATTTTTTCATGATAATTAGTTTCAAATAAATTTTAATAGTTGTTATAGATCATTTATAATAAATACAATTATTTTAAAGTTGGTTGTAAACAAACTGAATATTTCACAAATATTTCTTATGTAAATTTAATTACACATTGTATGCATTTTTTTTTTTATAAAATTATAAAAATAAATATGCTATATATAAGCATCATAGGCTTTATTGTTCAAAAATATACCGAGTATTTTAATGTTAAATTCATAGGATAAATTGTACAAATACATTTAATAATATTTATTATCTTATGATTAGCAAAGTAATCAAGTGAATTAAATGGTTTTCTAATGTATTGAGAATTTGTAAGCTATTTATTTGCTTCGGTATTTTAAGGTATTTTATCGCGCCATGATATATATGTCAATAATTCGATAGGCAAGATAAAATAAATTGAAATTACAAAAATTGGTCCAACAATATCGTGCAAAACACATATAATCAATACTTACAAAACTATTTATCAAACGTTAACGTTTGTCAACAGTTTCTTATAACGAAGGAATGATATTTAAAGGATTACTGCAAGACATGATTAATATAATTTAGATTTAAGTATAGAAATATTAACACATTTGTGTGGTTTGCAAAAACAATAATTAAAAATTTAAACTACATAATATATTATACGAGTATATACGCAATAATAGAGTTATGTTTTGTTTTATGCCCATACAAAAATAGGAAGTCAAAAAAGAATTATTTTTAATAAAATGTTCTTTTTTAAAAGAGTATAATAAAACTACCAATGTTAATTATAAAAATAATAACAATAAAACAAAAAAAAAACTATAAAATTCATTAAAACCTGTGGATAACATATTGATTTTTCTATTCAAACAGAACAAGTTTATTTATTAGGTATATTAGGTATAATACCTACTCTAATACATATAAGTCAAGTAATTTATAATTTTTATTTTTGAACGATAAAAGTGTATTTGGCGTCTAATCAAAAATTATATAATCTGTAGTTTTAGATTTTGCATTTTTAATGAGCACTCCAAAGCTTATATATATATATAAAAAAATTAAACCTTTTTTTGTAACACAATAAAAGCCAAATATCTATTTGAAATCAATTTTTAAGTAAATAATCAACAATTTTAATAAGAAAGATATGGCATTATTATTTTCAAAATAATTAATATTTAATTAAGTTATTTCAATTTATCAAAAAATAGATACGTAATAATATAACATAATATTGTAAAAACTATTTAAAAATTATATTACGATTCATACTATGATTACCTATTTTATACTCATGCCAAGTCGTTCTTGAATATAATATACCTATATTAATAATAATAACTTTAAAATTTATAATTTAAAAGAAATTTATATTTCATTTTATTATAATTTGGTAATTTATTATAATTTTAAATTAAGTATTATAAAATATGGATGTTTGACATCTTACAGATAACACATTTGTTATCTATAGTTGAATGCATTGAGGAGATATTTTATTAGACTCTATAATAATGTACACAATTATGATTTATTCAAAATTTTGAAAACATTTAAAAAGTAATAAATGTTACTTTAAACACTTAATTGCTAGAAACTTTAATTTTTTTTTTAGTTAAACTGACTTATTACCTATTAAAAATGATTTAAATATAATACAATTTGATACGATAAATTATTTTTGAAAATACATTAATGTACCTATAGCCACACATTTGTTTCTAACACAATAACAATTTAGATTGAACTAAAACCACAGAATCTAATAAAAAGCGAAAAAGTGTTATATACATAATATCTAGACAAGGACACAATTTATAGGTAATTTTATAGCTATAACACAAAGAACTGTTTTTGTAGCTTTGTACTGTACCGAAAATAAAATAAAAAATAACTAAATAACTTAAACGGACAGTTAAAGATTCATTTTTCGATTATCCAAATAATAACCACAAAACTAATGATGAAATTAAAGTTTTTAAATACCTTTTGTACAGGCCCACTTAATTTACTCAAAATACTAACATTTAAACTTTTTAAATTATTAGATAAACAATTTTTTTTTCAATATTTTGATTAATATAATAGGTGATTCCGAGGGTAATTCTAACTTTCATATTAATATGTAAATTTTTTTTAATTGACTCTCTTAAACTAAATATTGATAGTTTTCGATTAATTATTCATGGTTTAATACTAATTTGAAAAATTCGTGATAAAATTATAATAATAAATTACTAATTAAGAAGAAATAGGCAATAATAAAAAATAACCTTATATTATTTATACAACTGTATAATGTTTAAAATTCTTAAGTCAAAGAATTATAAATCTGTGTTTGAAATTTTATCATGACGAATAATCGATTATTTTTTTTTATTGCAGTGGTTATTTAACATATTGTACAGAAAACAAAAACCATGGTAAATAGTCTTATACTTTACGTCGGAAACGTTAACTAAAATAACAGTTTTATGCAAACAGATATATTATTATACTAAAAAAAAAGAAATCATTAGCCTGATTGTAATTTACGAGAAAATGTAAAATACATTGAATAATAAAGGTATTAATGTTGAAGAAAATAATTTTATAAAACTTAATTCAAAGAAACGTATTTTTAAAAATGACTTGTTTTCAAATAAAAGCTTGTAATTTTATATTATTATCGAAAATTGTTCTGTTTTCTTTTAACGAACCAGAGCGTAGGAACTATACTATTCATAATTTCAAGGAATATTTTGTCCATATTATATAGAATTCCAATACAAGTTCTTCATTACAAACAAGAGTTTAGATTAAATATAATATATTAAAATGTATTCATAAATTTATCACAAACGTGCATAGATATATAAACAAGTAAAATTATATAGGTATTACAATTTACCGATATAATACACAGATCATAAATCTAATGGTTAGGTTACGTAAAATATAATTTATTAATAATAATACATTTTTCGACTTCGTCATAAATGCACTAACATACGGTTGTTATGATGTATTAATGTCGATAAGTGTAAAAATACATAGGTTCCGATGTTAATTAATATTAGATGACAGATTTTAGAAATAATTACACATTCTAGTAGAATGACTAATTTTCTTTTAATATTCAAAATTTATCCAAGAATTCTATATTTATTTTTCAAATAAGAATTGTTTTAATTTAGCGGACACGCAGAAAGTTAAATTTAGTTCATAAGTAATGTATACAATAAATACACAAGGCACAGCCAGATTTATTATTTCAACGGGCATTTTCAAAAATATAAAAGGAAATTATTTCTTGATTCGTAAACAATACATAAATAGTACGAGCGTTTTGAAAAATTGTAACGTTAAAGTTGATTAACTATTGGTTAACACAACTTCTGGTAGTATTGAGTAGAAAGCAATTTATTTTAAAAACCAATAACCTAAATGCATTACAGAATAATAAATATAATATTATAATAAACCTTTGAAAGTCGTTCGAGCCTAAATTAATGAGTACAGAGTGATCGATGATGATTATTGATTAGAACTATTGGACGAAATATACCTATACGATGAAAATCGTAACTGATGAGAATAACAACAACTGTGGGTCCTGTAATCTTTTTGATCACGCGAAAAGATTACTATTAAACTTTATGCTCGAAAATCGCAAGAGTGTGATCGCGAGACAAAAATCGACTTACTCCCAACGTAGGTATTATATAGGTAAACGTTATATACGATAATGATATACACTTGTGTAGAAATCAAGCAGCGAAGATGACTCAAGTCCCGCAAAAATCTCCGCGTTACCGTTGTCGGTCGGTCGGCATTAAAAACGTTCTACGTAAAACACGCCTAACAACTTACTCCAAAATATCGCGAGGACAAGAAGAGACAAAAAAATGCAGTATTGAATTTATTTCAACGTTTAAAAAAAAAAAAATAAATAAATAATAAGTACTTATAATAGTGATCGTATGATTATCAATTTCATTGAACCACTGGGCGCCGAATACGACGGGAAACATATAATGAATTGCGTGATAAACACCAAAGATCAAGGTGTTATCTCTCTGTGTTGTGTTGTGAAAACACATCGCTCCAAGTGGCCGTCGTTATGTAAGACAATCTCGCGTACATTTACATATTTTAAACAACAAAGCGGGCGGCGGATGAAAAATTTCGCATGCCATAATCATATATCGCTATTCGTTACAGTAAAATTATTATTACTTGTTTGCGGTGGGTTTGTTGGCGACAAAGTCACAGTATTCGTAGCGATCAGTAAAAGGGTTGTTGTTATTGTTGTATCTGATGTTGTAGTTATTGTTGTTGTTGTTGTTGGCGTAATAGTTGTTGTTGTCCTGCAAGGCGTGGACCGGCAGCCGCGCGGACACCGGAACTTGCGCGTCGTTGAGGCCGACCAACGCGGAATGATTGCTGTCGTTAGTCGTGTAATACCGATTGTGCGGCTGCGGCGGAAAGTCGGCCACCGACGGATGAGCGGGCACGCCGTGACAGTCGTACGACGGTTGATTGCAGGGCGAGTAGACGGGCCGATACGACACAGGCGACAGCGACGACGAGGACGACATGGGCGACGACAGCGACGACGACGACATGGACCGGTAGCCGTTGTCCAGCGACGTGACCGGAGACGACGACATAGCGGCGCACAGGTTCCTGCGGTCGCGGAGTTGGTGGTACGACAACTGCGGGCTTCTGCGTTGTTGGTGCTGCTGAAGATGTGGCGCGTACGGGTGACGATGCCGGTCTACTGCGGCCGGCACGAAACCAGTTACGGCGAGGGGCATCATCGTGCCGCCCGCGTACGTGGACGGCGGTGCGGTCGAGGACTCGTCGCAACAGCCGTCCGGAAACATCATGACGATGCCGTTCTTGTACCGGTGCACCAGTTTTTGGATTACTCAAATCGTACGAAATATTATGTCTTTCTTATCCTTCGATAATGGCGAAACGCACAAAAACGAACGGAAATCACAAAACGACAACACCGTGCGACGTGCGCTAACCGGAAGCGGCGATGATAGACTCGCAGATTAAACGGTCAGGACACTAATAATAATAATAACACCATCCGCGATGTTTAGCGGCAGAGCGCGGTAACGGATTCGTCGGCGACACGAGCATCAAAAACCCTAACCGCACTCAACTCGGAATTGCGTGTACAGCACATGTTGCTTCCGACTCTCTGACTACTTCTAGCGGCCGTGGCGAATCGCTCGACATTGACACATTGAAGAAAGGGAAAAAATTGCGAGCAGGCGGACCGCCTCTGCCGGTGGGTCGTCCCGTCGCGTATGCGCGCGTGGTCCGGACCTGCAGTGCAGCCGGGCTTGCGCACCGTAACGTAAAGAGCGGCGGGCATGCGCGCGCGCTCACTCGACTTGTCTCCCGCGGCGGCAACACTGCACCGGTCGCTTGGCGATGCTCTAGGTGCGCGTGACGCAGCGTTTTGTGCATCACGCGCGGCGCGCTCGCGCGAGCTGGCCGGTCGGGAACCGCCGTTGCACCGTCACGCCGCCGACGGTAACGATGCAATTCTCGTAACCCGAGGTCAGGGTCTGCGGCGACCCAGAGGAAGGATACACCGATCGCGATACTGACCCATACCTATTGTATATATTATGATAAATAATATGGTTTTTGACTAGTAAAATAATATATTGTGCCCGGTAATTGTAAGTTATTACATTATTATAGGTTTCCGAGACAAGAGATATAGTCGCCGAATCAGTATGATAAAATAGACGTCTTGGGACGGGAAGGTTTCGATTTTAGACCCAGACGATCATTAATCACGTAATCGTTCATGATATCGTTTAATTCGTAATTAATTCAAGTATTACCACGCATAAAACGTTTAAATTCCGATATTACACGAAGATAAATGTATATTATGTTAACATTTAAACACTTATGAATAGCATACTACTTATTTTCAATAAAATATAAGTTATACGTATATAACAAAATTAATACATTTTAATTTCTTAGTGCACCATGTCTTTTAACCGATTTAACTTATCAGCTAGATATAGAGTAGTAATAGTATATCAACAAGTAAAATGTTAGTATCACCTCATACAACGTTGTGAAAACTTTTTTACAAATACAACATTTAAAAAAATGTAAGTAGTTGTTGTTAAATTGAAACAAGTTAAGATTAAATTTTAAGTAATCATAAGTTAACTTTAAAAAATGAATTTTACTATGAACACCATATTGCTATGAAAAATAAAATGTATTATTCAACAATCTGATAAAATAAACAAAATGCAATGCTGTATATCAAAATAAAAAAAATTTTAAACGTAGGACGTAGGTATAGCCGGTATATGTAGGTTGGGTTAATTATATATAATATAAAATTATTTTAATTTGTTGCAATGAATATATTTAAAAATCGGACAGGATATAATGTTCATGAACAAGCGTCTCACTTCGCTCATTTTCGTGTAAAATGTAATGGCATATTATAACTTATAAATAACCTATTATACATTTTAATTTAATAATAAGCTAAGTATTCGGAAAAAGATTCCGAATTTCCAAATTAAGTTCAGTTTACTATACGATATATAAAGCTTATAAGACTATTTCAAAATGTTAGTTAGTTAACATACATACCCAACAAAATACACAATTGAAATAATATCAATAACTCACAATGATTCATAAACAAAAATCATTTACATTTTATAAACACTAAGTTTTAAGCGGTTTAAGATAAGTATACATCTGGGCGATTACTTTAATACGATTAAAATATAGAACCCAGGCCTCTGAAAGCTGATTTAAAATTTTGGGTTTTACTATTATTTAACCTATCTCAAAAAAAATTAGTAATAGCCACATTATTACAAACATATTATGATAGAAATGTACACAGAGTCATTCATATAGCATTCATCAAACATGCAGTAATCAAAATAAATGCAAACGCCCATTTTCAACTATAAAATATTTAAAAGATAATTTTTTATGACATTTTAATATATAAGTAAATTAAAATTTGAACATGCAGTTTTTAAGTTATACAATTTTATGTAATAATGATAATACGCCCATCATAATGGGTTCAAAACTATTGTTTAAACAATTTAGCAAGGAATATTAATCTATCAACTTTTATAATATGTAAAAATGATCTAAATACCTATAATGAATATAAACGTTAATTTAATCTTGATTAAATTCAAATATATTTCATAGATTTCCGTCAAATATTTATTTTTATTTTTACTTAATTTCAAACTTAAATTTTAATATAAATTTATACTTTACATTAATAACATAATTATGAAACAAAAACACAATTTCATTATTCCGTATGAATATTGAGTACTTATATAGTTTACAAGTACAATCTTTAAATATCTTATACGTTGCGAAAAAAATTAAGTTAATATCAACATAAATTATAAATAATACAGATTAATGTATTACTTATAAATTTTAATATTTAGATTCATTATTTTAGATTTTATGTGAAGCAAGTAGGTGCTTATATAATAAATATACAATAGATATTCCTATATCATTTTAGTATCAGTTATCTCCTTTAGAAGTTATAAAAACGTTTAGAATTTTGACGTCTATATTTTATTGGTAAGATAGTTAATCTAGAAGATATTTTTAGGGAATTAAAACAAAACAAAATCCCAAATACTTTTTTTAATAATCGAAAAAAATAAATTAAATAATTAGTAAAAATGAGAAAACGAGAGTTTTTACGTAAATCAGTTTTCGACAAAGTAAATTCTCTTACTTTGTTGTTATTCAAAAACGAATAACCGTAGAAATAGATACTTGATATGTTCAATAAATATTTATAATAGGACTTTCTGTCTATAATATAATTTCAAAAATATTTAAAACATTTTTGATCTATTTATACACATTTGAATTTTTAATTTATTTTCAATAATTGTAGAATGAAAAATTTTAGCTTGCTCTAAAAGCTTAAAAATGTTTTTCAAAATTGTTCAAGAATTATTATTGGAATTAAATAGAAATTTCAGCGTAAATTTACAATAATTGTTTATGAGCGTTTGATATATTTGGAATTAAAATTTTTACGAATAATTTATAAAATGTTCAATTTGTATAGTTAAGTATTAAAAATATAACCTAAAGTTCCTCATAACTAATTCGTCTAATTCACATTGAAAACAAATCTAAAGAATATTTAAACACAATTTTTTATGAACATTTTATGATAAAATTTGAATGAAATTAGATATTTAAACAAAAAATAAACGTTTACGTATATTATTAAATTGTATAATATAATGTATATACACTATACACAATGACATGTTCGAAACATTTATACCGTTCTTAAGTAAAGCGGAGATTATACAAAAGTTAATAACAATAATAAATTATATGAATATACTTATTATACAGTATTACAATAATATATTAAACTCATTCAATGTTTTTAGAAAGATCAAATAAACTGATTGTAATACTTTAATAAATTACTTTATTAACAACATCAAAACACATATCATAAAAAAATACTTAGTAATACAGTAAAGAGTGACCGTTTTTGCTCAGAATATATTTCAAATCGAATTCAAATTTAACACATATATTACAGTGACTTACTCAATGACGAGATCCACTTGACTTTTATAGCAAATAGCAAAGCAGTAACATACTTTCCCACTTTTTAATAGTATGGAATGGTTTTAATCAAAAATATCATAAAGATTATATAAGTTATAAATTACAAAACTATAATACTATTCATACTGATAATACGCTTATTAAATCTTACTATCCACCTAATATTTTTCCATTAATACATTTTTATTTTTCATCATGAAAAATATGAATATTATATAAAAAAAATAAATCTTAATTTATGTGTTAAAGTTTAAAAATGTATATCTCAGACAGCTAAACGTAAAATAATATTTTCTTACCTTGGTGGATTTGAGCATACAGTTCCTTCTGCACTATATCGTGATGAAGTAGACTTTTTATCGTCTATTCCTTTCTCTCGGTCTTCTTCTTCGCCATCGCCGCAATCATCTACACGGGACGAGTTGCTATTGTCTTCCATGACTGCTATACCTAGAGAAGATTCAATAAATAGTATAAATCAAATATTTATTGGTTGGGTATAAAAATCTTAATTTATAACAAACAATAAATTAATTGTATGTGATAAACTTAGAAACAATAGCATGGAAAGTATTCATGTTAGCATCTATAATTTAACACTTATGTTTTACACGCTATATAAATTATAATTTTGTATTATTATTTAAAATTAAAATTATTTTTATTGATATTATTTTTTAGGCATTAACTTTAGGAGAATTATTGGTAAATAGAAAATAAAACCCATTGTTGAATACTCAATAAAATAAATAATTGAGTGCTTAATATTATTCAATCAAAAACTTTAAAAAAATACCATACATTTGAATAATCTACTATTCAGTATAAATACCTAATAATTATATACAAAATATTTTAGTATATATATTCTTATGATGACTCAATATGTTAATTATATGTATATATTTATTTATTTAATAAGTGTTGTACAAAATTGATTAAAAAATAAAATATTTTAAATATAAGGACCATAATATGCATTTTGCATTATAATTTATTTTTATTCACTATATTGTATATATATTTTAAAGTGCAATTCGTTTAATAAAATAGTTAAATGTACTTTTAAGATATTTTCTCACACATTTTAATTTCCTCTTAAACGCACTCAATCATAAGTCATAATAACAATTAATATAGTTGTAATCATATACTATTGTATCCATGTATTTCATAATAGACATAAAAAAGTATGCAACTTTAAAAAGAACTGGAAATTATTAATTAATAGATAATTATTGATTTTGATGTATGAGAATAGAAGTAAAAAAAATACTTTTGTAGCTAAAAACTATACAAAAATGTTTATACTTTATGGTAAAAATAAATAAAAAAACAAATTACAAAATTGATTAAAGTTAATAATATTAAATGATAAAAGAAGAAAATACGAAATTGAAAATTTCAAACAGAGATAATGTTTTTTAATTTTCGATCATATTTTTAAAAGATTTCACACGGCATTTATAAATGCATGTGAAACAAATAAAATAATCATTGATTAACATAAATAATTTTCTGATTGTAAAATTTAAAAATGTAAAGCTAAATTATCTATTTTTATTTTTTATTTACTGAGCATGTGCATATACGATATTCAAAGATTAAAATTCTTAGCTAGATTACTTACTAAAAAATGTAAAAAAAAAATGGGTATTTTTACAATTAAATTAAT